TAACTACTGTTCCACCACACAATTCTTTGACACGTAGAAAAATCCATTGAAATGATACTTTTATTAATGAAGTTATTAAAATATTTCTTTTTTGCTTTTGTTAATAACCTAATATAAAACAGTTATTGATTTTTATAAGTATAAGTCAATATGGTTTAGTAATTTGTTCGGCGATTTCTTTTGACAATTCTGATCTGAGGGTATCTATACCGGGCGATTTTTTATTTTTTAGTTTATGTATAGTTTTAATGACTTTTCTTCAATATAATTGAGAAATGTATCAATTTTCTCAGCATGTTTTTTCCCAATTAACTGAAATAGTTATTAAATAGATCTGCAATTTGTCCATGATCTGTTATTAAATTATCATCTATCTATATCTGCTCAATTTTTATAAGTATAAGTCAATATGGTTTAGCAATTTGTTCGGCAATTTCTTTTAACAATTCTGATCTGAGGGTATCTATATCGGGCGATTTTTTATTTTTTAGTTTATGTATAGTTTTAATGACTTCTATTCAATATAATTGAGATGTGTATCAATTTTCTCAGCATATTTGTTTCCCAATTAACTGAAATAGTTATTAAATAGATCTGCAATTTGTCCATGATCTGTTTTTAAATTATCATCTATCTATATCTGCTCAATTTCTGTTTTAACTACTGTTCCACCACACAATTCTTTGACACATGTAGAAAAATCCATTTAAGTAATATTTTTATTAATGAAGTTATTAAAATATTTCTTTTTGCTTTTGTTAATAATCTGCTGAGATAATTTTTGGATAATTTATATTCGTTACTAATATTCATGTCATTGGGCTGTTTCTTAGATGTTTTATACAAATTATTTTTTCCTCAATAGCTTTTAATAATTCCAAAATGATACAAGCTTTTTATATCTTGATTTTTTTTGAATTTGTAATTCGTTAGTTGTTATGTCAATATTTCGTTGTAGTGTATTGATAAACTCCTCAGTTGAGTTCTTTTGTTTATTTTTGGGACTATGAGAAATTTTCCAATATTAATTCAATGGCACTATGATCATTCGTAGATAAAAATGTAAGAACAAAGTTTATGTTTACTTTTTTTGTGAATTTTCAATAAAGAAATGATCAAGGTACGTTTTATTGTGACGTTTTGTGATTTGGTTTATGTATGGTACATAGTCATCATCAACTAAGTCGATATGCAAAAATATTAATGGTAGACCTCTTTGAATGGCATAAATAATTGTTACGGCATGAATTAAATACCTTTGGGCATTAGCTTGGTGATCTGTATGCAGAATCGATTTAAATATTTTCATTTTTCCCGTAGATGTCTAATTCGATTGCTATCATTTCAGAGGTCTTAATAATGTTGTATTTATAGTTTAGATTGTTTTTTACATATACAATAACACCATATTCGTATTCCTGTATTTGAAATATATTGCAATCAAGAAGATCTACAGTTTCCGTTTAAATAATAATTTCAAAATTAGATGTAAAATGATTTAAAAAAAAACGATAAATTCGTGAAAGATTTTTTGGACGCTTCGGATATTCATATTTGCAGTATTTTTAATGGTAAATTACTATTTTTACTAATATAATTGAATTCTACTAGGACAAGTTAGGACTGTTAGAAATCCATTACGGAAATAGTATGTCATGGTCTTCAATCCAATTTAAACTCTTGTTTTAGGTATGGCATCCTGCGCTGTCCTGGTCATTGGTAAATGGGTCAGTTTCATCAGTGTCATCAGTAGACACTACATATTTAGATCCATTATCTTCAAATGGTTCCGTTTTTCAAAGTTTACAATTGAAGCATCATCATTAATGTTATTTAAACTCTGAGATAAAAAATTTAAATCACGGCTTTTATCTGCGCAAGTACTAAATATAACCTCACTTTATTTATTACTAACAAAATGACTGTTAAAAATATAAAACAGTAAATTTACCTCTCTTATAGTTTATTTTTATGAACGAGAGAGTAATTAGCATAATTTTAACTGGTACCTCCGACCACTCCATGGGCGTGCTCAAGATTAATTGAAAAATTACTTTGAATAATTGTAAAAAATAAATGAATTATTTCAGTGTTATAAAGTGTTATGTGTATGTAAACAAAAGTGACCTCTTTTATCACACACTATATTAGAACTGACTGGCCTACATTAAAAGGGTTTTAAAAAATTTACATTTTTTTTTATTTTTAAAAATTACAAAAGAGAAAAAGAGTTTTTAAAATCGTCTAAGGTATGTTAAATAGATGAATAAAAATATTAATATAAAACTTACAGCTACTTGTTACAAATCCAAATCAGATTCAGAAGATAAACTTTCAGAACCAAGATTTATAATAACTGGCACGATCATTTTATCAGTAATATTGTCCAGCTTCCACATTTTTTCCTCTTCTTTAATAGTGTGATTTACTGCCTTTTCCCAGTTTTCAGGTTTTACATTGCATTACATGCCTCCAAAAACAACTGTTTAACATCATGCATTTTAAAAGTGGTATTTTTTCTTGAAACTTCACTCTTTATCTGTGCCCATACCAGTTCAATCGGGTTTAATTCACAATGATATGGTGGGGAACTAAGTACTGTCATTCCACGATTTTTGTCAATTTATTCAATTTCGTATTTTTAAAATTTTTCTTTATGAAGGGCACACAACGAATAAAGTTCCTTTCTTATAGATCCGGGATGGTACGTAATATTTTTTGAACTCAGCCAATTCTGCAAGTCTTTTTTTAACCACTTGGTTGTGGGCAGTCCTTCTATAAGTCTGGAGTGATAACTTGCATTATCCATTACTATTACACAGTTCTTAGGAAGAAGATCTGTCATTTGTTCGAACCATTCTTGAAAGACATCAGCGTTCATGTCTTCATGGTAGTCACCGGTACGAGTTGATTCAAAAGTTAATAAACCACCTTCAACAAAACCGTCTGAACTGCCAATGTGTACTATTATCAGGCTGCGTCCCTTTCCTGATGGTGGGTTTAAACCAGTAGATAAGTTATTTACAAAAGCGTGCCTTTGACTTGTAACAGTTTCATCCTGCCAAAATTTATTTGGTGTATGACCCTCATTGATCCATGTTTCATCAAGATAAAATATTTTTCTTTTTTGGTTTCTCATTTCCTTTATGGTTCTTAGAAAATGTCTTCTCATATGACAATATCGCTTCTTTCTAATAAATTAGACTTTCTGGGATTCTTTTTCCAGCGGAAGCCTATTTCCTTTAAAAGTTTCCATAACGTACTTTGACTCATTTCTGGGTAATCCTTATCATCTCTAACTGAGACAAGAACTTTACCCAATGTTGGAAATTCTTGTCTAAAGAAGAATTTATGCACTTTCCGTCAAAGTCCTTCTTTAAAATGATATTCTATTTGAAATTTTGGTTTCCCTGGAGCATTACGTGGCATTTGAAACATTTCTCTTCTTTAATAACTCTGTAAATCGTAGATTTCCCAACACCAAGTGTACTGCTAACTAACTCAACGGTCTCATCAACACTTTCACATAAACGTTTGTCTGTATATGATTTAAAACAATTAAATATTAACGTTTTTTCATTAACTGTTAAAGGAACAATTTTTCGGCGTTTACACGGCACTTCCAAATTTTCCATAACACTAGTATACACAATAAACTGCACCTTGCAACTGAAGTACCTACTTTTAGTGAACTGTTAAGAATTTTCAATACGCCACTTGGACCTTCCTACAAAATGGAAAAACCCACTATCACATTTTCTGTGGAATAAGTTTAGAAGGTAATTATCTAGTCAATTACTGTCGTAGATTCCTGGAATTAAAGAATTAAATGTTTGATTGTTGAAACCCTTACTTCGTGGAATGCACTCATTTCAGATAAAATAAAACGTTTTATTTTATCTAAAGAATTAAACTTTATTTTGAAAATAGGTAGGTACTTATTAAACTTTTATTGGTTATATATAACCAATAAAATAAACATCTTACATTTCTTGCAAATTATTAGTACCTGTTAACCTCCATCACTCCGACACTGGCAACCTTATTTAGGGATTAGTAACCCTCACAACTATTGTATTCTATTCTGCTCCAACCTTTATACCTGGTGGTCATACTCAATTTAAAATTGTTTTCGTATATACTTCTGTAAACTTGTTGACAAATATCTGTTTTTCATTGAGTCACCCGTATCAACAGTTTAGGGATTTGCATACATAATTTATTGTTTTATTACTCTCTCATACATAAAAATACACTATAGCAATCTGCATTCTCTTTTTTTATTAAGCCTAGGATATATATTTTTTTGAATTTATTATACACAATATGTAATAATAATAAGTAGTTATTATCTTCTCGATAACACAACACCAAAATTGAAAAACCACACTCAAGTCATGAAAAAGGTTGCTTGTGTCTGGTTTTCTTATCCAAAATATGTATGTGTCATAACACGCAGATCTCATTAAATTTAATTACGATTTTATGGCCTTAGACCACTCATTACAATCTCTTCGTACAGTTCAAAGTTTATTGCAGTATTGTTCCCTGTTATGTGCTCAACAAATTCCCCAAGAAAGGTTTGTTTGCCGACTTAGAGAGAGCTCAATGAAAAGATTTAATGGTATCTCTAATTACGAACTTTAGCTTCTCACATAAAATTGTTTATTGGCAATTTGAACAAGACTATAATATATAGATATAGCTATAAAAATTGTCGATAAAATGAAAAAGTACGTAAATTCTTAAAACCAAGTTTCCAGATAATAAGAAAACTTTTACTGTTTTGTGAGATATGTGCTTAAAAATAAGAACAATTTTATTATATTTTATTATAACAAAATGGTTAATTATTCTGAATATACACATTTGGTTTCCGTTCTATAATTATAATTCTAATCTTCTTCTGTTAGAGCTTACCCAATAAAACGGATCAGCCGCAACTATAAAAGCCTATATATATAAATTTCAATGGGGAGCAGTAAAATATTTGTAATTTTTTATTTGGGAGCCAGTTTTGACGTGCTGATTAAAGCTCTATCTCTTATACGCTTCAGCATTAAAATCTCCTCGCTGCCCTTGAGGTTGTCTTTTGTCCAACGGATGGCCGTGTTCAGAGCTTTAACAGCTTTTGCAGCAGAAGTTTTTGAAGCAGGTATTTCACCATCGACGTCCTCCTCTTCAGTTTGGTCATTTTGAATGACCCTCACAATTTCTTCATATGTGAGCATTTTTCCGGTCTCAATTTCTTTGTCATAGCCACCTGAATTTATTCTCAAACTTGAGATTGAGTAATTGTTGTCTTTTTAATTAAAAGAAGAGTTCTCAACAGCAACTAAGTTCTTGCTTAAGATTTTGCAAGACAATTAAAACAAACATTGTGAAATGGATGACCTACAATTTGTCAAATTAAAAACGACGCCCTTGAGATTAATTTTTTCAAAGCTACTACCAGATCTTTTTACTTTGCTCGTCAGCAAGAATGTTGGAGAGTGAAGCCTTTCGATAGCGCAGTTTTGTGTTCTGGATGATATTCTGGTCAATTGGTTGAATCAACTGAAATATGTGAATAACGTTTTGTCCCTTGCCATTCTAATAAAATTTAGTTTTTTTGATCTATTGGTCTTCTGTGTTCTTAGTTCTTTCCTCTGTCTCTGTTTTTTTTTTCAACTTTCACTCAATTTCTTATCTTTACTTACATAAAATTTCAGCATTGTTTAAATTTTTTTGTCTTGTTTCTTCGCGCAACTGTTTATTTTCCAAGTTTTTAATTTTAGTTACCAGTATTTTTAATATGGTTTATCATATTGGTTGGACCAGATCGAGTCCGTAGATTGGTAAATCTATGGACTCTGCGTTGGATGATCTAAATAGGCTTATCTCAATGGAAGACAAAGAAATAGCAATGGCCGCCTTTTGAGATATAGAAAAGGCATTTATTAATGTTACCACCAGTTCTTTGATAGGAGCTATGAGTAGACGAGGCGCACCTGCGGTAATATGCAGATGGATAAGGGCATCCCTAGAGAATGTCCACTCTGGGTAAAGCAACCATCAAAACAAAAGTAGGTGGAGGCTGTTTACAAGGAGAAGTGCTGTCCCCTCTACTTTGGGCAACTTTGGTAGATGATCTCCTCCGAAATTTGTCTACAGAAGGCTTCTATTGTCTGGGATATGCTGATGATATAGCAATCGTCGTCAGGGGCAGGTTTGCTTAGGTGGTGTCTGTGAGAATGCAGGGAAGACTGGAATAAAGTTGTACTCATAAAAGTTGCTGCTACCTGATACATGGATGCCTCAAAAACATCCGAGTGTGTTGGAGCCGGCATAGTAGGGACAAATCAAGGGATACATTTCCCAATAAGTCTATCTATGGATGTGACAGTTTTCCAGGCGGAAATAACTGCAATCCATCACTGCGTGAAAGAAAAAAAAAGACAGGAAAGAACGTTCTGTTCAGTTGCCATCTTCACAGACAGTCAGGCAGCGCTTAAGGCACTCAATTCTGTAGAGGTCAATTCTAAGCTAGTATGGGATTGCGTGTGTGCCCTAAATAAACTAGGAAATCATAGCAAGGTTACGGTAGCCTGGGTACCGGAGCACGAGGGTCATAAGGGCAATGAAAAGCAGATGAAATGGCCAAACAAGGCTCATCAATGCCATTCATTGAACCGGAATCCTTCTGCGGCGTTGCAAAGTCAGTAACAAGAACGGCTACAAAGAAGTCGGTAGCACACAAATCTTTGAAATGGTGGAGGAATTCATCAGGACAAAGACAGGTGAAACAGTTTCATTACAGAACATTCGCCAAAATACTAATTGAAAAATGTGTTGAATATAATAAACCACTCACGTTGATTTTCATAGACTTCAAGAAAGATGTTGATACCGTGGAATTACCGGCAGTATTAGGAGCATTAGAACAAAGCCGAGTAGACTATAGATATACAAATTTGATAAAACATATATACAACAACGCAACAGCATCTGTTAAACTCCATGACTTTACCGATAAATATAGAATTAAGCGAGGAATTAGACAGGACGACACCATCTCCCCCCAACTATTCACTGCAGCTCTGGAATATGCCTATAAAAAACTAGATTGGGCTAAAAGGGGAATAAATATTGATGGTGAATACTTAAGCCACTTGCGCTTTGCAGATGATATTGTTATTATAGCCGAGAGTTTAAATAAAGCTCACAAAATGATGGAAAAACTAAAACAGGCAAAAGAACAAATAGGCCTGAACATAAACTTTGAAAAAACAAAATACATGACCAATTTAGTTCCAAGTGATATTATGAGGGTAGATGGGAGCAAAGTACATCAGATCTTTAGCCTATATATATATATATATATATATATATATATAATATATATATATATATTTAAGACATGAAATTAGAATAGGAAAAGACAATTAAAATTGTGAGATCCAGCGTCGCATAGGCTTGGGATGGGCAGCATTTGGCAAGATGCGAGATATTCCAAAAGGAACGCTACCGATTTGCTTGAAGAAAAAGGTATACAACCAATGCATACTGCCAGTAATAACATATGGTTCTGAAACAATAACTTTAACCAAACATTCTGCAAATAAATTGAGAGTAACCTAAAGAAAAATGGAAAGAGCAATGTTGGGAATAACTAGAAGAGATATGGTACCAAATAGGATAGTGAGAGAGAGGACTAAAGTAACAGATGTCATAGAAAAAATTGCACAAGCCAAATGGAGATGGGCTGGACATATAGCACGTTTAAATGATAATAGGTGGACCAAAAGACTCATAGAATGGAGACCTAGAGAAGACAAAAGACACCGAGACAGACCACCAAAAAGATGGATGGACGACTTGAGAAAAACCAGTCGGAAATTTAATACAGAAGGCGCAAGATAGAGAACAGTGGAAGAACATGGAGGAGACCTATATCCAACAGTGGATGCAAGAGGTTGATGAATGATGATGATGATGATGACCTGTGTATGATTATGTCACCTCTAAGAAGAAACCGCAGAGCACATTTTATGTCAGTGTGACAGTCTGGCAAATTTGCGGTTTTTTGCATTAGGAGAAGAAAATCCACCAGCAAATAGCTACATGGAAGGTACAGTGTCGAAGCTACTAGACTTTATAAAGAGGGTCAGGCTAGAGAATGTTATCTAGGACTAGAGGACCACAATAGATCTGAAAAGGTCGCAGTGGAATAGGCCAAAAGGCCACCTCACTTAATCTAATCTAATATAATCTATTGGTTGGACCACAGACAAAAAAAATCTAAAATATATAATCGCCTTTTTTTAAAATACTGACGCTGACTTCTTATTATATATACTATTATTCTTATATACTACTTTTATATAATTTTTTAATAAGTATAATTAACCTAAAGCATTGTCTAACTTCATCTCTTTAACCATATTTTATAACTTCTTTTAATTATAAAATGCTTTACTTTTAAAAGTAAACGACAAACGACAAACTATATGCATTATCCTCTATTACTGTCTTCACAAAGACAAACTTATACCATAAATCAAACCCTTAAAACAAATCGTTTCATAGACACTTTCATTGTTCAAACTCGGTAAAAGAGTCCACTTAAGAATTATCCTTTTCGGGATTTATGACTCCGGACATTGTTGCCTTCAGTATTCCACGGGTCATCGTAGAAAAATAACTTCCGTGCTACGTTATCGAAATCTTTATCTAAATTGAAAAAGAAAACTATAGCGGAGCTTCTCGCTGTTCATCTATAATGTTTGCAATTTCCACAAACATTAGGTGAATATAAATGTATTGTTATCTGAAGAAAAAATTGAAAAATATCAGGATTATTATAATTTTATACATTTCTGTTTGAATTTTAACAAGTGAGATAAAGCGGACCTGAAAAATTTCGTAAAATGTACATAAAAATAGCGTTTGTTAAATAAATTAAATTAAGAATTATAAGATATTCTGAATATCTATTATAAGATAGAATAACTGAGTATAAGCTAGTCAGAAAGTACAACAGACAGGATTGCCATGACGTAATGTCTTACATGGTTTGACGTAAGGAAAATATAACATTAATGCCATTTAGGTAATATTCACGATGTATCTCGCTTTTTTATATTTACTCGGAAACGCAAAAGGAACTATTTTCCTCCAAAATTTTATTTTTTTGATATAGGATTTTCACAATTGTTTTATTGATTATAGAATCTTAAATATATCGTTTTTTGACCGTTTAAAACCAAGAGTGCTTGGCAATCCATTTTAATTTATAATTAACAAATTATTCAGTAAATTATTATATTTTTTACTTGACGTTTGTTTAAAATATCAGATACAATAATAGACATATTATCCGTATACATCCTAAGATAACAATAGCATTTTATGCAGAGTTTTGAAAGATATTTATATATGACAGAAATAAAGCTTGCCGTAATTTTGATCTCTAACAAACACCCATCTTAACCAATCAATTCTTAACCACCAGTATTGAAATATTATTATTGTTTAATAAACTAACTTGGTCAGTATATACCTGATAATGTATGGTAAGTATACCTGCAGGTCACCACAAAATAATGAACAAAATTGCATTAGAAATCAGATCAACTTTATTCTAACTAATCTAAGATTTAGGAATTCCATTGTAAACATTAGACTTTTCCTGGAGCAGATGTCCATAACCTTCTTGTCTTAAAAATGAAACTGAGGGTGAACAAGAATACTCAGTAACTTAAGATAAATCATGTGTCTTATGCACCTCTGAGTTTTCTGTCATTGAGATATGGTCAGGTCTTTCCATGAATTTGTGCCTACTTTCTGTTAATAGCGTTTCGTAATATTTTTCCCACTTTTTATTTTGAATCAGGTTTATATTTCCCTTATCTTTTCTTTCTTTTCTAAAACTTTTTATGAATTAACTTTGATGGTACACAAGGCAAATATCGAACACAGTAGTTAATCAATCAATGATTAACTACTGTGTTCGATATTTGCCTTGTGTACCATCAAAGTTCATTTATTCGAACATTCACCTTATATGGTTTTATGAATTTCCAAGCTTGTGTCACTTTGGTTCCTCCTAAACAACGGTCCATCTCTTCGCATGTCTCTTCCCACATTTCGTTTTTTCTTTTAGCGACTTCCTTGTTTGTTTCCCTGTTGAGTCTGCTGTAAATGCTACGGTCTTCTGAGTCTTTCGTGGATAACCATGTTCGATAAGCTT